AGAAGGAGAAGGAGAAGGAGAAGGAGAAGGAGAAGGAGAAGGAGAAGGAGAAGGAGAAGGAGAAGGAGAAGGAGAAAGAAGGAGAAGGAGGAGAGATTTCAGTTGGAAGTGACCTCTAATGATCATCTAGTCCTGACCACTGAAGGACTGATCAAAGGTTGAATGACATTTTCAAGGGCATTCTCCAAATGGTTCTTAAACACTGACAGACATGATGAGATGGATCCAGGTAACGTCCACCTGTTCCACAAGGATTTTGTGGCATTTTCCTACCCAAGGTGTCTTTGCAGGAATGTAAATGACAAAGGGCTTGGATAAACAGTGTGAAATGAGATTCTGCACAGATAGAAGGATATAAACCCAGGGACCTGAAGGCAGGATGGGAGCTTGCAAAATTTCTGTCAGGTGCCCCAGGCAAGTCTTCAGCTGAATTAAAAACCAATCCATGATGAACAACACTAGCTGCAGATTTACTCCTGAGTGCATATCATGTCCCCAGTTAAAACACAGCCAAGATCCAGACGGCTCCAGGGGACAGGGAAGAGCCATGGCAGCATGGAATAATCTGCTTTGGGAAGTTTTTAATATCTACTGATGACTTTTAAAAGCTTCACAGCCTGTTGTGTTCAATAAAAAATGTTGTAATAATGCAGCAGTTTACAGGTTAAAGCACTTTATGAACAGTCATTAATCACAGAATCCCAGAATGGTTTGGGTTGGAAGGGACCTTAAAGCTCATCCCTTTCCACCCCCTGCCATGGGCAGGGACACTTTCTACTTGACCAAGTTGCTCCAGGTTACACAGCCACTCAAAGGCAGGGCCAAGGATTCAAAGGGACACAGGGATGCCAGGCAAGCAGAGCAGAAAGCAGGGAATGTGTGGGGTGAGAGGGGACACAAGCTGTAGGTTGTTACCCCAGCCATGGCTGGCAGGGCTGTGCCAGGTGCCCTCTTCACTGGGACACAAAAGGCGTGGCCTACTCTGAATTCCCAGTCTGAATTCTGCTATTCATTTCTTTATCAGCAAAGTTCTAAGCCTCACTTTAATACTGACACCCAAAGCCTGCAAGGCAACTGTAGATGTGAACCCTTCAACCCAGCTCTGTTCCACCCAGGTCACTGCAGACAACTCCAAACTGTCACTGTGCCCACAAACTCTGCTCTCAGCTCCCAAGAAATCACCCCTATTTCACAGTCCTACAAAGAGGCACCTACACAGGACAGAAAAGCTTTGGAATTCCCACGTTCTGCCATCTCACCTTTTGTCTAAAGGAGAAAAACAAAACTGGGACTGCAAAGTCTAATTATGCCCAGAGAGCTGTCAGCCTTTCCCATTCCTCCATCTTCTGCAATTAAGAGGTTCTTGCTCTCTCACTGAGCTGCCAGTGTGACCTTCAGCTGAGCCAGGTTTAGTCACCAACATAAGGAACAACAGCCTGAGAAATCCCTGTGACCCTGGATCTGCTCCTGGTACCGAACCGGGCATTCCAGCACCATCTCGTACACACCCCACAAATAACAAACCATCTGTCAAATGAGCCCAAACCTGGCATTAATTCCGTATTTTCAATGCTGGCCTGTAGATTTGCAGTCATTTGCATCATGAATGAAGACAGTAAGAACTAAATGTGCAAGAGAGGAACAGCTGGGGCCAGTGGTGTGACAGGATCCTGCACAGACAGCGTTCCCCCAGCTCCGGATGAACCCCATCCCAGGCACGAGGCAACAACAGTGAGGAAAAGGTGATGGATGAGAGGGACAACTTACCCCACGGCAGCACGGGTGTCTCTGGCCCCACCAGCTCCCTGGGATGTTCCTCCTGTGCTGCACAGCTCGTGGAGAGGGGCACAGGAGGAAGGTAACCTGGACCCACTGCTCGGCACCTCCAAACTGCAGCTCGGCAGCTGCTAAGCAACAGCACAGCTATCCTTGAGCTATCCCTGAGCAATCCCTGAGCTATCCCTGAGCTATCCCTGAGGGAGCAGTGAGGCTCCAGGAGATGGGTGCTGTGGATGCCTGGAGGCCAAAACACATCCCCATTCCCAGGTCAGTCACCCAATGCCCGTGGGTGTCAGGCTCTCATGCTGAAGGATTGCAGGATTCTCCATAGAATCACAGAATATCCTGAGTTGGAAGGACCCACAGGGATCATTAGTCCAATTCCTAGCCCTGCACAGGACACCCCAACAATCCCACCCTGTCCCTCAGAGCGTTGTCCAAACCCTCCTGGAGCTCTGGCAGCCCTGGGGCTGTGCCCACTGCCCTGGGGAGTGCCCAACTACCCTTTGGGGGAAGAACCTTTTCCTGAGATCCAACCTAAACCTCCCCTGACACAGCTCTACTGTTCCCTTCCTTCCCTCAGAAGAGCTCAGCACCTGCCCCTCCACTTTTGGAGCAGAGCTGCTCATTCCTCACTCCCATTCCCAGTGACCATGCCCAGGATGTGCCAGCACAGAACAGACCTTCACACTTCCACCCAGCACAAAGTTCCTCCAACACTCTAAGGGTTAATATTTCCAGTATCCCATAATTTTAAGCCTGCCATAACTAAATTCAAAAAGCACCCATGCTTTAGGTTCTATTAAGTGAAGTTTTTGCAGATTTGGCACCTGAGTTACAAATTTTGAAGCCTTATTTACAAGGGGTGCAATTAACTGTCCAGGAAGGAATCACTGTAGCAATCCAGGAAGGAACTGGACAACATTTAGAGCTTCCCCTCAGACCTCCAACACAAATCCCAAGCAGCAAAATCCAAGTTCTCCCAGCCAGACATGCAGAGAGGCACAGCCAGAACAGCAGGAACAACAAGAGCCCCATTCCACATCCAGAACACTAAAAAGCCATCCCTGCACCAGTGTAAAAACTGTACATCTCGCTCTCATTTCCTGCAAATTCTAAAGTGCCAGGGGAGTTTGGCAAAAGGATTATTTTTTAATTTAGAGAGTTAATAAAATATTAGAAACAATAAGTGCCTGTTAAGATGGTCTCCTGTTGCCAACTCTGGTTTATAGCAAAGCGCAACATTCCTGGTGCTCCAGGCAATTCACATCCATAAGGCAGAAATGCCTTCTGCACGTTTTTCATGATTTCCATAAACTGTTGCTCAAATAAATTTTTGATCAGCCTCTAATTTTCCAATTTAATAATTACTGTTCATTTCTTTAACTATTAATGGTCCTGATTTACAGAAGCTTAAACCCCTCATTCCGGTGGGACATAAGAAAGAGGGGAAGGTAAGCACAAGGTGAAGTGATTTCCCAAATTCAGACCTTCAATTACAAACTTAGGTGTGACAAATTTCATTAAAATACAAAAATCAAATACCAAATGAAGATTTTAATAATACCATAAAATAGTTTCATGATCTTTAAAAGGAAAAATTGACCACTGACAAAAAAAACAAGTCTCTTTCGAACAAAATCAAAGATATTTTGGAATTTCAATCCACAGACACGTTCACAATGAAAAGCATCATGTCAAATCTGGAATTTCTCACAAAATGGAAAATCTGGGTTCATTCCTGCTCTTGTTCCAGCTACTCTGCTCTCCCTTACTCTGCTGGGCAGGACTGAATGTGTGAGGAAAGCCTGGCGAGATCTCAGTCCACTGCACAGAGCTCCCAGTATTTTTCCGATTATCAAAGCAAGAAGAAATGTCACGCTCAAAAAAACATTCTGAGATTCCTGAGCTGATGATTGAATTTGCAGTGAGCCGAGATCTGAACCCTCCATCAGCAAAACCATCACCCCGAGGCCACCGAGCTCCCCGGGCTTCCTGCGGAGCGAGAGGAGATTGGGAGGGACAGGGATGCACAGCTCCAGCTCCAGCTCCAGCTCCAGGAGCAGTATTTTTAGCTCTGCTGATCAAATGGCCTCGGGAGGACGATGAGCAGCCCCAGCCAGGAGCAGTTCACACATTCCATAAAGCTCCACTCAGCCCTGGGAGACTTGGGAAGAGCATCGCTGTCGCTCCCTGTTCCTGTTCTTCCCAAGCCCAACACAGCACAACTCCTGCAGCTCAGTGAGAATTTAATTACTAACAGACAGACATTACTTACTGCAAATTAAAGAGGAAGGTATTTAAAGCATCCCTTGCATTTTAATTCCCAGAGTTAAAACCCCATCGTTGCTCCCTCACCTCTTAAATGCCTCAATTATCAGTACAAAAATCATAATCCTAAGTGAGGCTCCCATAAGTCAGGGCCAGTTCCACACAGGAATATTTTTATGTGCATTAACTGTTTCCACTTGGCACCTATCAGAGGCAACTCTTCCTGCTGTGCACTGAACAACACTCAGGGGCACCTCCAGCATAGGAGAGGTTCTGCTGTTGGCAGTATTTGTGGCACCAGCAATTTACAAAATTTACATGCTGAAATTTTGTAATAAAGATTTATAAATCTCCTCACTATGTAAAAAAAACCCCATTTCCAGCTGGATCTGTCTCCATCTGAGCACACAGGTCCCCTTTCTGTCCATCAATCGCAGGGTGTCACTGAGTTCCAGCACACACAGCCTTCCTGTCCCACAGTCTGTTTGCTCTGTAGCACTTCAGATTTATTTATTTTAAGACTGGGATA